GATCCTCCGCCACACTCTGAAATCGGGCCCGCAAGTTTGCATGCTTCCCTTGCTTCCGAAGAAGCACAATCAGCTCCTACGCGCGCGCATGACTGGAATTCTTTAAGTCCCAAACTCAGACAACATCTCTGCACAACCTTACAATCATGACTGACACATAGTCGACAAAATGGGGCGATTCCGTTCTCGGAATCTGGCAGCGAAACAACTGCTAAATCCCACAACAACATCGACCACATGGGTGTGCGTTGTTTTGGGGTTTTCGGAAAATTGAATGCTGCTATTAAACCCTACACCCTAGAGAACATGACAGACATGTAATCAAGAACAGAGGGCACAAGGATGTGCCCTGTTTCCATTTCAGGAAACTGCCACTAATTTTTCCTGCTACATGCGCGGAACATGGATGAAATGGGGTCCCAAACTCCACCCCATGGAGGAGATGCACGCCCCGCTTTCTTCTCAAAACAGCCATCGCACATGACTCCCTTTGTTCCTAACTCCTTTTTTTTTTTTTTTTTTTTCATGATCCAAACAACGCCAAAAGCTCTCTGCCTACAAGCGCCTACCGTGTTTCTTTCCTTGGAAGCAGTGCACGAAAAAACATGCTTCCCGCCTCGCAAAACACCACTCAAATACAAACATAAGTCGCAACCACGATTTCCCTCCTCGCAAAATGGACCACCATGCTCCGCACCACAGGCAACAGACATCCCGTGCACATCCTCTGCCATTACAGCCCCCCTTTCCTTGTTAAGAAAAGCGCCATGCCAGATACCCCCTGATGTCATACTCACAAAGCCTGACAACTCCACAGGGTTCCCTTTATGGATAGAATAAAATTTCTTTTAAAAAAATAAATAAATACAAAAGGCATTCTATCCGCCACTCTGCAACCTCAACCACACACATACACCTTGTCCTCAGAGGCAAGCTCTCTCTCTCTCTCTCTCTCTCTCTCTCTCTCTCTCTCTCTCTCTCTCTCTCTCTCTCTCTCTCTCTCTCTCTCTCTCTCTCTCTCTC